GGGAGGTAGCGCGGAGGAGCAGCGCCGTGTGGCGGCGGCCGGCGCCGCCGCCGCGGGGAAAGGAGGAAAGTTGGTGCGAGCGGAGGGCAGCGGGGCCGCCCCGGGAACGGGACTGCGGAGAGCCGCCGCCTCGCCTCGGCCCGGCCCGGTGCGGCCGCCGCGGATGTGCGCCCGCCGGACGGGGAAGGACGGAGCGGAGCGCCGTCGCTGGCAGCGGGGATCGGGCGGCTGGCTGCGCTTCACCCTCGCCGGGCTGCTGCACTCGGAGGATTTGTGGATTGACTCTCGCTCCTGACCCACCGCCTCGGCTGGATTTGTGGGGTTTTGTTGCTGGATTGTGGCTTTGCTTTTTTTTTTTTTTGGCTTTTTTTTTTTAATTGTTATTTTTCTCTGCTCTTTCCTCGGGGGAAGGAACTGCCTGCCAGCCCCGCTCGGGTTCCCCACTGCAATCGTGGCAGTGCCGTGGAGGCTGGGACCCCCCCCTTCGAGCCAAGGTGAGCGCTGGCACCGATCCGATACAGCAGCATCCCTTTCCCCCCGGAAAGGTGGTCGGGCTTGTAACCAAAGAGCGCGCACACACCAAAAAAACAAACACCAAAAGCCGCCCTGCATCTAGAAGCGTACAAAATACCGAGCTAGTGGGACTCGCATTTGGGATTTGTTAGTTCTCTTGCTCATGCCACTGCCCCATGGTTGCCTCAATGGCAGGATCATGAAGTGTTTGACTTTTTTTCTTCTGCTTCCAGAGACCTTAAAGAAGTCCAAAAAGAGCGTGAGGTCAAACGCCAAGGTGCCAGGATGCTATGAGATAGTGCCCCTGTCCCTGAAGAAGAAGATGGCTGCAGAACTTTACCCTGCCAGCACCAACACCAACATCGCAAACAGTAACGCCGCTGCCGCCACCGCTGCCAACAGCAAGAAGAACGCCCTGCAGCTCCAGCAGAGCGCCCAGCCGCCCCCGCCGCCCCAGCTCCAAAACCTCAACAACAACAACTTGGAGAGCGCCAACTGGCAGTCCTTCCATCCCACGCTGCGGGAGAGGTAAGGGCCCAGGCCCCGCCGGACCCTCCCCGGGAGGGCGGGTGGGAGCGCTGCCTGGCCCCGTAGCACCTGCGCCGAGGCCAGGCGTGAGGGATGGGACGGGAGGCTGGAGGGGCTGCGTGCCGGCGGGGCTGGGGCAGCAGGTGAGGGAGGGGCTGCCTGTGGCTAACGGGGCTTCTCCCCCACCACCACCCCGTCCCCTCGCTTGCAGGAACGCGCTGATGTTCAATAACGAACTCATGGCTGATGTTCACTTCATCGTGGGCCCGCCAGGGGCATCCAAGAAAGTTCCTGCCCATAAGGTTTGTGCAGATCATTTTTGGCTTTTTAATACTGCTGTGCGTATCGCCCTCTTCCCCTGCCTTCCGACTAGGTT